AGTTTTTGTGCGGATTACCTACACTTTCCCATAGACTTTCTATTAGATCAGGCAATTTTGGTGTGTTTACAAGCATATCCAGTGCTCACAAATGATGGAATAAATTATAAATAGTGTACAAATCCACAGTTAATGGTTATATAATGACAACAATTATAAAAATTATACACTGAATATGACCAGAACAATGGTGTGACAGGATTGTCAAACAGTCAGTTCCTCCAAGTGGTATTCAGAGTGAGGAAGAAATGGACAATAGGGACTGAAAACACACACAATGACAACTAGCAGGTTTTGAAAAGGATGAAATGCCTAGTCTAGCTCATTCCCTCTTCCTCCTCACTGCCAGCACCCCAACCCTCTGCCTCATACTCCTCCTCTGTCATCTGCTGCCTCTGTAGGGATAGCATGCTGCTAGCTCTGGGAAAGCAGGAAATCCTCCTCTTCCTTCTGCTGCTCTGCCTCCAGTGCCCAGTCTATTAAACCATGCAGTGAGTGCTCCAGCAGGAACACCAGAAGAATTGTGTCACCAATCCCCACCTCAGAGTCTCACTATTCTGGTCACCTATTCGAATGATGGCAGGACACCCTGAATCAGGAACCATTGACATAGTGAAATAAACCCCAGCTCCCTAGAGCCTGTCTTCCTCCTATACCCACACTGATACTCATTGAAGACCTGCTGCTGCATGGCCAACCTTGAGTTTCAGCACATGGATGAATCGCATATTAGGCAGTTGGCAGAGAGCTTGTATTTCTACTGCATTTTGTCCAGGCAAAAACTTGCTGGGTATCGCTCACTGTGTAGCTAATATCTTATGTCAACAGTTGTTAAGGTAGAGCCGGGTAATTGCCCTGACTGAGCCATCCAGAGATCCCTATAGTTGCTAATCTATAAGGATGAGTTTAGAGAATGTTTAGGACATTCAGCATGGAGACTTTCATATGTCAGTGATTGCTAAGGAATCCCCAGCCACGGGGGCAAATAAACAGGAAAAGGAGTGGGTTACATAATTGCCTAAATATAACCACATGGCCATATTTGGCCAATGATGTCACCACTATCCTAGCTGTCAATGGTTGTTAAGGAACAACCCAGATGAGCTCAGATGAGCTGGGCCAGCATAGATAATAATTTGCTAATCAAAGAAGAGAAGAGAACTATGATATGCATGCATGGAGGGAGGAAACTGTGCTAGGGAATTATTTATTATTTATTTCAGGTACTTATATAGCGCCATCAATTTACGCAGCGCTTTACATATATATTACATTCACATCAGTCCCTAACCCTCAAGGGGTGTACAATCCAAGGTCCCTAACTCCCATTCCTACATACACATACTAGGGTCAATTTACACAGGAGCCACTTCACCTACCAGCATGTCTTTGGAGTGTGGGAGGAGGAAACCGGAGTACCCGGGAATCATTTCTTGAATATGTAAAATTTGCTAGAAAGTTTAAAAATATACTGAAAGTGAATAAAAATGTTTATTTTGAAAAGGTTTGGTGTTTAAATGATCTGCTTTTTTTGTCTAACAAGTTATTAAAGATATAAACTTGTGGGATGTCTTAGATCCTTTCATCAAGTTTCTCACAAATACACAAATGTATAAGGCCTGATGAAGGGATCTAAGGCATCCTGAAAGCTTTCTGTATTAGTTGACAGGATCTCTTTATGCAACCTTTTCAACATCTTTTGGGCTACAGAGTAAAATCATTTAACCACATCCCTTAAAGTGTTACTAAACCCAGGACCCTGCATCCACTATATCTGGTCTCCTACAATACACGAAACATGGAAATTCAGTTATGTTAGTAAATATAAACTTCTCAATACCTTTTCTTATCAGCAGTTAGAGAAGTCTTGTAACTTCTATGACTGTCTGGCTGAGCACTGGTTAACCTTGTAAGAATAATTTTCATTCTCCTATGAATGTCCTATGAGGCAGCATAACCCCTGACCCTCTGTTGGACAATGCTAATTAGCCCTGTGCTGATCACATGCACTCTTACAAAAAAAAAAAAAAGACTCTCTAGCAATACACACCAATCTGAGCATGTGCAGAGTGTCTCTAAGGGCTCTGTAATATCAGTAGATGGATTGGGGACTGTGGAAGAAGGGGAGGATCAGAAAAGACAGGATCAAACAGCCCCTTAGGTTCCACAGTGAGTATAACAAGCATGCTTTACAGCATATACAGACTGATTTTACTGTTGTGTGTTTAGTATCACTTTAATAACCTTGCAGAGGAGTGCCAATGCTTCAATCCTGACTAACAATATGTTGTCTTTCACAGCCAATATGACAATTTCTCAGCCTACATCATTTTTTTATGAACATAAAAACACGTGCAATCTCTCTCATTGTTCAGTGTGTTCCAGTAATGCAGGTTTATATGGATTTGGATCCTTCTTATAAACATCAGACTAGTGGTAAGATATTCTTACACTGTAAACTGATATTTCACTCTTGGCTTGGTACAGGTACATTAAAGCACCTGCTTGCATCTTACACATCTCTAAAAATCCAAGAATGAGGTTTCCCTATGTTAGTCTCCACACCATCCTACAAAAACAATAGTAAAGTCATCATTTTCTCACTGCTGAACTCCTTTACCTTGTTAACCCATTGGCGATGGGCGCCTCCCGGCCCTTTAAGGGTTTCAGAAGCCGGGAGGCGGGGCGGGGTTTTAGGGACATGTGACTGCCGTGAGTCGCCGTCACGGCGGTCACATGATCGGGAAAGGTCCTGATCGAAAGAGGGGATCGGGACCTTTCTGTGAGTGCTGGACATGTGTGCTGGGAGAGCGCAGGGCGCATGCTCTCAGCACATATGTTTTTCTTAATTGCACACAAATGTGTGCCTTTCGGCGTCTAGGCTCAGACGCCGGGAGGCCGCACATTTGTGTGCGGCCGGTGTGAAGAGGTTAAAGCACCTCCGTGTAAGCCTGTGTGTCCATGTACAACAAATTTAAAAGACCATGCATAGGTCCTAAGTAGGGATGCATCTATGCCCTTTTTTTAATCGGTGAGTATGAGTACTGATACTTTTGGCCAAGTACTCACCCATACAGAGTACTGATACTTTGTGGTGCGATTCGGGTCCACACAAAATAAATTGGTGGAAATCACACTGCAAAAAATGGCATGTGATTTGAACAGGAATGTGGTGCCATTCCTGTCCAAAGCACATGCACTTTCTCCATTGCTCCTGTGTGAACCCAGGCTTGTCACAGGCTTTCTCTTCTCTCCTTGCAGGGATGACAGTACGAGCTAGATGACTTCTGATTGGGCAACACCATGACCTTGCTGACCAATCAGAAGCCATCTATATGGCTGTGGGGATTTCAAATCCCCACACCTGTGAAGCGGCTTTTAGTTGTATGACAACATGGGATTGGTGCAGGAAGGTTTTCTGCACCATTCCTGTGTGAACTCAGGCTAAGACAATTCATTTTGCATCGACGCAAATCACACCACAAAGTATTGGTTTTGGGTATCAGGAGCATTTTTATGAGTGCGAGTTCTCGTTAAATACTCAGTATCAACACCAATACTGATACCGGTATTGGTAACAGTGCATCCCTAGTCCAAAGTATAACTATTATTTGAATATCTTATTATTTTTATGTTAACATATAGGCACATAGAAAGTCCCACCTCTTTCTCACCCCCCCTCCCTTTTTTCTATTTGTTTCCATTGGCTTCTTCTAGCTGGGCGAGCTTTTTTTGCAGCTTTTTCTTATATAGAAAGACCCTTCCCTAGTACATTGTAGTTAAGCATTATTTAGCACCATGAAAACATCCAGACTTCTCTGATATCATTATACATTAAAGGTCTGTGCGGAAACTACAACAAAATCCAAAGTGATGATTTTAAAGCTCTAAGTGGAGTCATTGAAAGTACGGCTGCAGGCTTTGTTAATACCTGGAAGACTTTAGCCAACTGTCCAAATATCAAGAACAGCTATGAAGACCCATGTTCACTCAGCATTGAGAAGGGTATGTCTTTTATGAAAGGTGAACTAAACATAGCATTGTAAACATGTTGTAAATCATGCTTTTCTCTTGTGATATCAAATACATTTGCGTTGTTCTGCAGAAAGATATGCAATGCATTGGTGTGGTCTTCTTACATCTGAAACTGGTCCCTTCACCGAGTGCCACAGCTTGGAAAGCCCTCTTATTTATCATGCGGTAATGTCCCTATCATTTTTTCTATTAAGCTTTTGTACAAGAATGTTAAACATGCAGTCAGCTGGGGAAATTTCCTACAAGTGAGACAACATAGGAATGTGTAAAGTAAAGGAACCCATAGACATAAGATGTTTGATGCCTGATCTTAGAATTCTAGAAATTCTCAATCTCTGGGTGTCCATGGACTTTAGCAGACAATGTCAGATGATTGAAAAGTGAATAAACAGGATAATTGGGCTGTATTCAATATTTATAGCAAACCATTTCCTTTCGATAAACCAACAGGGGAAGATTTACTAAAACTGGAGCACTCAGAATCTGGTGCAGCTGTGCATGGTAGCCAATCAACTTCAAAAGTAGGCCATACATGGGTTGAATTCTGAACAATTTTTCTATATCAAAAATAGAAAACATTGTTCTTCTGTAATCCGATGGTGCCACCAATGATTTCATGAATTTTCTAGCATGCCCAATAAACGAAATGAGGAGGAACCATGAAAATCGGCCGATGCCATTGCCCACTAACAGAGCGAAAATCGGCCGATTGTTCTTAGGTCTGATTTTTAAATGAAAAATCGTTCGAAAATCAACCCATGTATGGCCTGCCTAACTTCAGATTATTCAATTAAAGTGATAATACAGGTAATATTTTTTTGTAATAATAAAAATATTATACTTACCCAGGGCTTTTCTTCTCAGAAAATACACTATATTGTCAAAAGTATTGGGGCACCCCTCCAAATCATTGGATTCAGGTGTTCCAATCACCTCCATGGCCACAGTTGTATAAAATCAAGCAACTAGACATGCAGACTGCTTCTACAAACATTTAGAAAGAATGGGTCGCTCTCAGGAGCTCAGTGAATTCAAGCGTGGTACCGTGGTAGGTTGTCAACTGTGCAATAAGTCCATCCATGAAATTTCCTTGCAACTAACTATATTCCAAGCTCAACTGTTAGTGGCATTATAACAAAGTGGAAACAACTGGGGACAACAGCAACTCAGCCACCAAGTGGTAGGCCACGTAAAATGACAGAGCGGGTCAGCACATGCTGAAGTGCGCAGTGCGCAGAAGTCGCCATCTGTCTGCGAGTCAATAGCTATAGACCTCCAAGCTTCATGTGCTCTTCAAATTAGCACAACAACAGTGCATAGAGAGCTTCATGGAATGGGTTTCCATGGGCGAGCAGCTGCATCCAAGCCTTACATCACCAAGTGCAATGCAAAACATCGAATGCAGTGGTGTAGACCCTAGAGCAGTGGAGATGTGTTCTCTGGAGTGACGAATCATGCTTCTCTGTCTGGCAATTCAATGGACATGTCTGGGTTTATGGTGTGGAGTTGTTTTTCAGGGGTTGGGCTTGGCCCCTTAATTCCAGTGAAGGGAACACTTAAGGCATCAGCATACCAAGGCATTTTGGACAATTTCATGCTCCTAACTTTTTGGGAACAGCTTGGGGAAGGCCCCTTCCTGTTCCAACATGACTACACACCAATGCACAAAGCAAGATCCATAAAGACATGGATGAGTGAGTTTTCGATGAATTAACTTGACTGGTCTGAATAGAGTCCTGTCCTCAACCTGATAGAACACCTTTGGGATGAATTAGAGTGGAGCCTGGAGTGACCTCACAAATGCGCTTCTGGAAGAATGGTCAAACATTGCCATAGACACACTCCTAAACCTTGTGGACAGCCTTCCCAGAAGAGTTGAAGCTGTTATAGCTACAAAGGGTGGGCCAACTCACTATAGAACCCTATGGACTAAGACTGGGATGCCATTAAAGTTCATGTGCGTGTAAAGGCAGGCATCCCTATACTTTTGGCAATATGGTGTAAGTGAAGGAACTCAACCATGACCCCCGCCGCCCCACACACTCACTCACACACACTGCATAAAATAGTGGGTGGGGTCAAATTGGCTAACAGTGGGAGGGTCTTAAAGGCGCATTAAATAGCAGGAGTGCTTCACATACCGTTGTACATTACTTTAGAGGTGCACGATGTACAGAATTTGGGGGTGCGCTATGTACACGACCTCTGCATGCAACACCTCCTTCTCTTCCCCATCTCTCCCCCCCTTAAAAGCTTTACCATTTTCCACATGTCTTACTTTTGTTGCTATATTAAGCTAAAGCATCCAGCCAGCTCTAGTACCTCCCCGAACATTTTATGTGACTCTTCTTCCCTCACTTTTCAGGGAGATCATTCAGTGGGGGGTGTCGATATCTGCACTGCATCCTGGACACTTGCATCTCCCTTGTCCTCATCCTGCACTCAGTGGGAGCCAATCAAGACATCAGTTGGGAGACAGGCTGTCACTTGTAAACACAGAAGCCAGACTTCTGTGTTTACAAGTGATAGTGGTGAGCAGGGAGCAGAGGGCTTGAACCAAAGGTGGTGAAACTGAGTTCTTCCAAGTTCCAGCTGAAAAAAAAAAACCCCTGGTACTTACCTGCTCTGTATAATGGTTTTGCATAGAGCTGCCTTGATCCTCCTCCTCTCAGATCCCCTCATTGGTGTTCCTGCCCCTCCCTCCTTCCAAATGCCCCCAGAGCAAGCAGGCTCACTCGTGCACATGCTGGATCACAGTGGGGCTCAGGTATGTATTGGGGGGGATGCATGAAGGTAAAAAACGTTGAGCCTTTATAATCACTTTAGGCTTTGAAGAAAACCTGGAAGCTGATTGGTTTCTGTGCAGAGCTGCACCAGATATTGCACTATCCAATATTAGTATCAGGGGCGGACTGACCATTTGGAAACTCGTGCACTGCCCGAGGGCCCGGGGTCAGTAGGGGGCCCCATGAGATGCCCCTGGTACCTTTTTCATAGGCTTTTTTGAGTTTGGGCAAGGACACAGGGGCCCCATGATCCCCTATTGCCCGGGGGCCCCATGAGTTGTCAGTCTGCCCCTGATTAGTATGTAACCCCCCACTTTCCCCCAGCAGACACAGTCAGAAGTTTCAAGGGGATGTGCTTTTGCCTTGCATCTTAAATTGCTGTGATGACAACAGTGACCCATAGTGCATGCACCTAGCTGCAAATTCATTTCAAACATAAAGCAAATGCACTTGACAATGTAAGCACTTTCTTGGATACTGATCTCTAATAGAAAGTGATTTTTTTCACATCACTTACTCTAAACAGTAGTAACTAGATAGCAGAGGAATGAGAGAGGAGAGAGAAATCACACTAGGTGCTTTAGGTAGAGGCAAGCACTTCTTATAGAAGGACATGCTTTGTTCGTTTTTCATTTCAGAGTTTTACAACCACTTTAACTGCTTGCCCGCTGCCCTACAGTAGAAATATTGCAGCAGGGCTGCGCAAAACCACATATATTTACGTGATTTACATTTCTGGGTAGGGGGTGGCTAGGCATGTCAGTCACCGTGTCCCGGCCGGAGATTCCCCGCCGGTACCCATTGATCGCCATGCAAGCTAACAAGGGAGAGAAACAACACAGAGCTCTCTCCTGCCAGCAAGGACTCCCTACTGAAACAGCACACATAGTAAAAAGCACACAGTTAACCCTTTGATTGCCCAAAAGTTAACCCCTTCCTGCCCGGTGTCATTAGTACAGTGTCAGTGCTTTTTATTAGCACCGATCACTGTATTAGTATCACTGGGGATGTCAGTGGCAGTTAGTTCCCACCCAGTGTCAGGATGCCTGCCGTGGTCCCGCAGTCCCGCTATATGTCACTGATCACCGTCATTACTAGTATAAAAAAAAAATTAAATTCCATTATACGTACCGCTATTTGTAGATGCTATAAATTTCACGTAAACCAATTAATTTACACGTATTTTTTTTTTAGCAAAGACATGTAGCAGAATACATTTTGCCCAAAATTTATGACAAAATTTGTTTTTTTTTTATTTGATATGTTTTATAGCAAAAAGTCAAAAATATTTTTTATTTTCAAAATTGTCATTCTTTTTTTTTGTTTATAGCGCAAAAAGTAAAAAATTCAGAGGTGATCAAATACCACCAACAGAAAGCTCTATTTGTGGGAAAAAAAGGACATAAATTTCATTTATGTACAGCATTGCATGACTGTGCAATTGTCAGTTAAAATAACACAATGCTGTAACGCACAAAAATGGCCTGGTCAGGAAGGCAGTAAATCCTTTTGGAGGGCAAGTGGTGGACATAGAGCACCACCTTGTGTACATTTAATGGTTTGGCTAGATCTGTTGATTTTTATATAGTCCTCAGTTGTTTTTACATTTCTTGTTTCATTTCATTTTATTTTTTGTGCCATTTGTTTATTAGGTTGACCTGCTAACCAATAATGACAGAATGAAATGTTATTGTTTCTTTCTATATTTATCATTTTATATTACTGTCTTTTTTAAATATCAACTTATTCTATAAACTGCTTTGTCTGCAAGTTTTGTTGCTTACTACCTAAAGTGATTCAACCTTCAGGCCTGCCTGCTCTTGTTTTTATTTCACAATGACTTATGCTGTAAATTTGATGGTGTATCTTGTGTGTCTAGAACTGTATGTCAGATACCTGCAGCTGTACAGACAGCGAGGAGTGCATGTGCGCTGCCCTCTCATCTTACGCCTTTGCATGTACTAAGAAAGGAGTCCTTCTCACTGGCTGGAGAGACAATGTGTGCCGTAAGTATAACACTCTTATCATATTTTTAACTTTAAAGTTCTGTCATACCACATTTTTTCAAATTGATTTTTGCAGTTTATAATTAACCCATTTCTAAACACAGCACTGTATTTCAGTTTTTTTTCTTCGATACCTAACAAACTTTTTTTTTTACTTTAAAGTTATTGTATGTAACTATGTAAAGGCAAATAGTTTTATATAATTATAATAAAAAAGATGTTACACTTACCTTCTCTGTGCAATGGTATTACAGAGTAGTCCCTTACCTCTTCTTCCGGGGTTCCTGTTGATGCTGTCTGCTCCTCCTTTCCTGTGGGTGCCCCCTGTGGGTGCAAGCTGTGTGCTGAGGGGCCACCCGTGCAAGTGTGTCCCCAAGCCTGAGCTGTGTGCATCTATAGACACAGCATGGTGTAGCCATGCCCGCAGATCCTTTGGCAAGCCATAGATTCATCAATTTTCTTTTCTTCCACCATGGGTAAGATAGGTTGTATGGTGTGATAGTGAATGCTGACTTTTTTGTTTAAGCAGAGGATGTATATAGGGAAGGGAGGATATGGTAAAGGGTAGAATATTTAAAAGGGAGGAGGCAATGGGTGGAAGTGGGAAGGGGAAGGAAGGAGGAGAACAAAACTAGAGGGACAATAGTGAAGAAAGAAAGGGAGGGGTGTTCAGGCCAAAAGTGTGGTCTCATATTCCTGTTATGATTTTTATGTATTGTGCAGAGGAGGTGTAATATAGCCATGATGCCCATGCAATCAGATATTTAAGTAAAAGGAGACAGGTGAGACACTGCCCTTTAGATACCCGCAGGCCAGAGTACTTGGTGTCATTCTGGATTCAACCTATTCTTCCAGCCCCAAGTCCAATCTTTAACAAACTCATGCAGACTCCACCTCCTCAACATCGGCAAAATACGCACGTTCCTAACCCCAGAAACCACTAAACAGCTCATCCACTCCCTCATCATATCATGACTCGACTACTGCAACTCCCTCCTCACTGGCCTGCCTCGCCGCTGGTTATCCCAGCTTCAGTCGATCCTGAATACGGCTGCCAGACTCATTCACCTTTCCAACCACTCCCTTTCCGCCACCCCCCTCTGCCAATCCCTCCACTGGCTTCCGATTGCGCAACGGATCAAATTCAAAATCCTAACACTGACGTACAAAGCTGTCCACCATACTGCCCTGAACTACATCACTGACCTAATATCAAAGTACCGCCCAGCATGCGCACTCCGCTCCTCACAAGACCTCCTTCTCTCTAGTTCCCTGGTCTCCTCCTCCCATGCCCGCCTCCAGGACTTCTCCAGGGTGTCACCCATCCTCTGGAACTCCCTTCCCCAACCCATCAGATTATCACCTACTCTCCTCTCCTTTAGGCGCACCCTGAAAACCCATCTCTTCAGGGAAGCCTACCCCACCCCCTTTTAACTTGCCGACCTCCTCCACTCTTCCTACCACTCCATCCCCCACAGCTATCTCCTCCTGTGCCACCACCCCCTCCCTCCTAGATTGTAAGCTCGAAAGAGCAGGGCCCTCAATCCCCTCATGTTTTGCATTGTATTGGTATTGTTCTGTCCCCCTTTGTAATGTACAGCGTTGAGCGAACTATTGGCGCTTTATAAATACTGTATAATAATAATAATAATAATAATAATAATTTTGTACTTATTATTTTATCTGCCATTATAGCTTAAATA